GGGGGGGGGGCATGCTGTATCGGAGCACGCTGTTCTCTTCACGGCAGACACAGAGAGCGTGTCACTGGTTCATTTATTTCCTCGCAGATGGAGGCAATTCAAGTTCAATGCAGCCTCAGTGCGGCTCAGTTTGACGCTTGCAAGCTAATTCCAGTTTATTACAACCTTCAGTCTTGTTTGTTCAGGTTTACATGAATTATTATGTTTACTGTTCTTGCCAAAGTCGCAAAGGTGCATGGCAGCATTTATAAAAGACAGACAAAAACCAACGGACAGGTCCACAGTTGGGCTTGATCAACTTAATTACATCCTATTGATTTAAATGGAAGTGAAGGCAGCAACAGTAATTCAGCCCTCAGTAGGCCAGTTCCCTTCCAGTTCTTTCCCAAATAAAATGATTTTACCGGGAGCATTTCGTAAGAAATTACAGCTTTTCACTACAGTTCAATTTATCGTTTTTAGAATAAGCTAGACCTTGCTCAACATTCAGTACAGCTATTAAACTGTTTATTACATCTAGATAAGATACGGTGAGAATTATTTTCTTTATCTCAAAAGTACCGGTAAGGATATTCCTGTCCTTCACACACAACCTATAACAATACAAGAACATAAACTGGATGCACAACTAAAAGGGATTTTTATTTTAATCTGATCTCACAAAACACAAGATGACATGAGAGGCAAAGCTATCAGGCTTTGAGGTGAAACTGAATGACAAACAATCTGTGAAACAAGAAGAGGAGGCCAAAACTTAAATATGTGATCCAGGCAGTTAAAAAGGAGGTAAAACAAAAAAAAAAACACTAGATAACTACTAGAATAAAGCAAAATAAACAGAAAAATGCAAAAATCAACACGTCAAAGTCTGATGTTCTCAGCAGTACAAGGAGCTGCTCTAAGGAAACACAAAAAGTAAGGAAATTTGTGTTTATTTCTTTTTATTAACAATGCTTCTTGGCAATAAATCTTACACTGTTGGAAAGCCTGTTTGTTCCTGAAAAGCATGTCCAGCCTTCTCTGCCAATGCCCAACAGCCCTTCATTAATGTATTGAATGATTGAAGTCTGAAGAAAGAAAGCATACTGGATTCTCCCATACCTCCACTGGTCTGGTACCAAACTCTGTCACCTAAAATTGCCCCCACACAGCACAGCTTAGAAACTGACTCCAGAATTTGGGAGTAGACGGGAAGGAATGGCCTGCCTGCAGTCCTGACCTCAACCTCAATGAACACTTGTGGGATCAGCTTGGGAGTGCTGCCATAGTGACCAACACAACCAGATTGGCTCACTTGTGGAAATTGCTGATTGAAAAATAGCTGTGTGTGACCAAGCTGGTGACCAGCATGAGGAGGAGGTGCCAGGCTGCTGTAGTTGTGTATGGTCCATCCACATGCTACTTGCCGGTATGTCTTCTTTCTTTAGACTTCAATCATCCAATACATTAATGACGCCAAACAAGAGTGAATAGCAGAGTACGCAGTTTGGCATTAGCATAGAGAATTTTCATGGATGTACCTACATACTCAACTCTACTGCTCAACCTACAAATTTAAGAAGAAACAAATGGGCTTGCCAACGGTATAAGATTTATTGCTAGGAAGCATTGTTATGAAATGACACACAGGAAATGTGGTCCAGTGGCATCAAACCCATGGTCTTGCAGTACCCTATACCATACGGGTCATCTACTCAGTCAGGTGAGCTACAGTAGTGCCCAGATTCCTTTTTAAACTTATAAAGTAGTCTGAAAAAGGTAAACCTGTAGTTATCTTGGAAAGTCACAGCTTTTCTCTGTACAAGATCTGCACTTTGTGCTACTAAATGCTTCTCCTCTTATAAAAACTTCACCTTGGAGTTCTGTTGAAACCAGCAAATCAATCAAATTAAAATCAGGCAAATTAAGTTTTATGGACAGATTTCCACCACGTTATGGTCACGTGTCAGAAGTTCATCATTTACTTTAACTCAGCAGAAGATCAAATTCTAGCTCAAGTGACTTTAGACACAACAGACTGTAACTTTTTTATGTCTCACTTAGACAGCTGAAGTCTGAAGGGCTGACGGATTTGTATCACCAACTTTACACCAGATGGTCAAAAAAATTGCCTTCTTAAATCTGTGTCTGCAAAGTCATGTTTTTTTTAAAAATGCTCAAATTAAATTTGTCATAAGCTGGAGTTGTCATTTAAAAAGCTATAATCTGAGAGGTATGGCTTTGGAAGGGATGGCATGGTTTGTATCTATAGCAACAGCCCCAGTGTGGTACTGCGTTTGGCAGCAGACACTCTCCTTGTCTCACTCAGCCCTTTGTGCCCCCCAGCATGGCTTTCTCATATCCCATCAGTCCATACAGTGACCCCAGACTGACCTGTTTTGAGCAACATCTCCAGAGTTTAACTGTCCCTGACAATGAAGCAGGGCACTGTCCTGGCCTGGCCTGGCCTCTCCACTTAGGGCCTTTCAGCATGGCGCTGTGACCAGGAAAAGAAGGCCACAGGCACACAGAGGAGTCGTTGTTTTTATCCAACTCTGTCAAATCAAACCCACTGACCCCCCACAGCCACCCTTAACCTCCCCGAAAAACTCGCCCTGACTCAGTAGAGCCCTCGTCGACTGAGAATGACAGCTGAGTTGACAGCAGCAATATGCTTTGAAGTGTCAAGTCAAGTCCTTCCATTGTCTCTCTGAGTAGAGCGCCAAGCCGCTCAAGTGCACAATAGTGCAGTGGTGTGTGCGCGGCGTTGGTCACTTACTTGACTGCGCGAGGGTGGCTTCATGTGTACATTTATACTCGTCTGTGTGGGTGAAGGAGCTGAGTTTGCCTTTTCCTTTTAGAGCCTCTGTATATATTATCCTTTTGTCCAGGCCAAGCTGTTCTGCATTTCTAATGTGAGAAAAGCCTCGACAAGCTTCTTTCATGGCAATGACAAAACACATCACCCAGTGAAACAGTTTCTCTCACTAATCCTCTGAGTTTTAAACCAGGCAGGTTTTGATGACGAGCCTGACCGTTTTTAACATTCCTCAAAGTGGCCTCTGTGGTCTTAAGGGAAGATTTTCCTGCTCTGTTTAGTGTAGGCAAGTTGAGAGTACTTTTACCCTGAAGCCTCACCTGAGGGGCTTCACTTGTGGATGTCCTGTATTGTGTTTTGCCCACTTGTCAGAATCCCCCTCCTTGAAGGGGTGAGCATCAATATAGCTGACTACATCCAGCCAAGAGAAGCTGTGTAGTCTGACTTTTGTTTTCCTTTCTCTTTGGTGTTCTCATTATTATTAAATTATATAGCAATCTTTTATTGATATTTAAAGGATTTTGTGATAGTTTATGTGGGAATCAGTCAGTACTAATGAAAAAAATTTAAGGTACATTTAATGTTCCTGTCACAAAGGCCTAGAGACCAGCCAGTGACCCATTGAAATGTATCTGCTTCAACTGCTTAGTAAGTGGTTGCTGGCTTTTGGTAGGTGAAGTTGAGCCCAACAATTGCTCTTGTCGCTGGCAGATTACTGCTTTGCCCATAGTTTGTCTCGAAAAATTACAAACCAGACTGTAAACGGACACCGCTCACCTACAAACGAAAAGTTTGTATTACACTGCAACTCACCTTTTACTTTGAGGGGACATGGTCTCAGTTTCACTACTACTTAAAGAGTTGTCGGCAGGCTAAGGCTGGTCATATACCACTACTACCAATTTCACCTTGCAACTTCCAACAACCACTTGTTTTCTAATAATCAGAAGTTAGCTAGTATAAAACAGCTAACCTAGCCTTATCTAGTGTGCCTGCTAATGCTCTAGAGTGCATTCAGTTGCACATTACACCTTGTTTAATGTACACAATATAGCTATGATATAAGTGTAAAAAAAATGCTATACCCATACAAAAACAGTTGTATGGGTTATTATGTGCCACACTAGCAAGCTGAGCTAACTGTAGCTTTATATATAGCTAATGGACATAGCTTAAGTAATTTAAAGAAAATTCTTCTAGCAGCAGAACATAAATATGGATTTAACTCCTGCCTTGGAAAAATCAAAACATTTTACTTCAAAAACTTGTTTCACAGAGTAAGAAAATGTAAATTGAAACATGTTAAAATAAAAATAATATGCAGTCATGTTATTTGGCGCTTACATTTTCTATTGTTTTCATGCATTGTACTGGGTCCTAATACTTTTCAAATGTAACAATCCACTGTGCTCACACATGTCATTAAAAATACATTTAATCCTTATCCTCAGCTTCATCATCATCTGTATTATCGCCATAATATTAAACACCCACTCTGTGCTGTTGCAGGGCGCTCAGCAGCATCTCGCTGCTCTGAGATCAGCTGCAGTCAGTCTCGTGTGTTCGATGAACTGGAGGCCATTGCGCCACTGTCAACTTCCTGTTTGTCTTTGGACCAGCCATCTGACTCATCAGGCTGCCCTTCACCTGAAACAGGTAACACGTTCAGCACTTAAACAGCTTCAGCTAATGATACAGCTTAATAATTACAGTGTTTCCAGCTTTTTCCACAACTTTGGTCCAAGCACTTAGGTCTAGGGCTGCGTATCGATTTTAATCTCCATAATTGATTTGATTTGATTGACTGATTTGACTCAGACAATCAATTTATCAGTACATATCCATATTTTTATATCTATGTATAAAAACAAAACTGACACTTGGTTTTATACAAATATAAAACCCCCAAAAATACAAATTTACAATTATATTTGACTTCATCAGAGGTGTAAGCATCACAGCAGCTGCCTTTGTGTCAAAGTAACTGAGGATAAAACAAAGAAAAACAGGAAGGAGATTTTTCTGGCCTGGTCTTTTATAGCAAATAACCCCCTTAAAAATATTCTGCAGTAGACCAAAAACGGAAGAAAACCATGAATCAGCAGATGAACATTACCTGATGCTGCTGAAGTGAAGCAGCCAAAGTTACAGAGGTTTATTAGACACAGCCAAGCGTTTTGTCGTTTGACATAATTTGTAAGTTTAAATTTCTTTGGTGCTGACCAGCAGAAATTTGGCTTTCTTATTGGAGGTCATTTAAAAAAAATAACAGCAGTAGACAGCACTGTGCACAATGGTAGACTGGTGTGCAATAAGTAACCGAATAATGGAGAAAAGAGAGATTTTTGATGGTAAACTCTTGAAATACACTGAGAGAGAGCTGAGCAGGAAGTGTGATTTAATCGTGGTGGAAGCAGAACAGCAGAAGTAAGAGGGAGCTCATTACAATGTTTTTCAAACGTGAAGCGTAGTTTTGGTCTTCTTTTGCCGCTGCTAGTAAATTTTGGTTGGAGAGTGACGAAACCTGCAGCTTCAGAATCTGTGAGATGTCGGCTTTCAGCACTCGATGGCGTCCATGTACGTGCCATCGGGTGAACGGGGGGGAATCTTTTTCCATTTACCTGCTCTTTAATCCTTTGCTGTTTTTGCTGTTTTAGCTGTTTTGCGGTTGTTGAAATTGTTTTGTGAGCTTTAACCTGAGATTTCTGGCAAAGTACATTTATATTTAAAAATCAATTCAGAATTTAATGAATCGATATCAGATTATTCAAACTAAAATTGATTTGAACTGGAAAAATCGATTTTTTTAAACCCACCCCTACTTAGGTCTTGGATTGTCCTGAAATTTTGTAGATACTTTTGTAATCCACAGATGATAACCTACTGACATTCTCAGTCTTATTACCATGACATTGAAATTTCATGGTTTTAGTCAACTTTCTCGACAGCTTTTTGATGGCTTGCCATTAATTTTTTGTGCAGACATCATAAGGTTAATATAGAGGTCTGACAATAAAGGACCAATTACCAATCAAGTGGTTAATATGATGTCTTCAAATAGTATGTTTTTTTCAGAGAATGGGGAAAGTAGGACCCAAAGGCAGGACTTTCTACGTTGAACATTTCTCCCAGTGTCCATGGTCCATGTTTCCATTCCCTTTGCGTCTGTATACAATGCATGCGGTTTTTCCTCTTGTTTCTGCAATACTCCTGGAAATCACAGAGGCAGCGGTTAGTAACATCCATATCGGCGGCAAACTCAAACAATCTCACAGCTCAGCCACTCTGTTAAATAACTCCCTAGACGAGGCTGATCAGCAGCAGGTGCATGCGATTACGCTTTAGGTGCGGCAGGTCTCACGGTGGGAAAAACAGCCACACACACACAAATATAAGGGGAAACGAGGGACATCACACAATACACAACCATTGCAGGTCACCCGGCGAGGACAGTGAACAGTTTTAAGAAGCAACAGGTCATCAGGTATAAATACACAACTAACAAATGTACAAATATTGAAAGGTAATTCATTCTCATCTTTGAGGGTCTGTCTGATGTGTTTTTGATCGTTCAGCTTACTGATTGATTTAGTAATTAAACCATAATTTAAAACAAAAGTATCCCCTTATTATTGTGTGTGTTTTTGTTTTTGCTTTTTTCAATTTAATTTCAATTTAATTTATATAGATCAAATCGCAACAACAGTCATCTCAAGGTGCTTTATATTGTAAGGTAGACCCTACAATAATACATACACACGTTGCGTTTTTGCGGTTCACAGGTTATCAGCATTTGGAAATTTGGTCAGGCTTTAGTTTGGCTCCTCTTTCTCTCTCTGTGATTCCAATTCAAAGAAAGTTAAGTTTGTTTATTGTTGCTTCCATCTATGTGTGGCTCCCATTCATGTCTCAATTAGACATGCTCTCCTTTCTCTCTGACATCTGCCTTGTTACCAGCAGAGATGAGCTTATCTGACCACTCACTCTGTCAGGTCCTTGCATTGGCCCACACTGGCCAACAAAGGCGGAGTAAATGTGATTTGTGTTAGTGTGCATGCCTGTATTAGATAGCATGTGTGTGTCCTGGAGGTGGTTGAGTGAGATGCGGAGAGAAACATTAGCCAATGAAGACTTCCTCCACGTCCCTCATAGCCTGCTAATCCCTGACAAGGTGTTTAACCTGCTTGCTTGACCCGAACCTCTGTCTGACCTCCACGACCTTTGCCCCGAGGATGTGAAAGGATCAGCGCAGCCGCAACCACGGCAACCAGTTTGATAAAATCAACACAGGGCTCAGTCCAGAAGCTCTGGCAAATGCGAGCTAATGCTCCAGACTGATTGTTATCAGGCTGACGTGAAGCACAATTTAAATTTGTATAGGATATACAGGATTTAAAAAAAATACAGATATTTAATCAGGCTAAACTGCATAAAGCAGACTCAAGAACAGCCTTTTATTTCAAAACAGACCAAAGGAACTCAGGCCTGGACCAGGAAAACCCCATAAGAAAATAATGGTGAGCAAATTGCAGCTTCAGATGAGAGACTTTGCTGCATGTGTTTAAGTTGTCCTCTTTAATGACTTTGTAGGACTTGAAATCTGACATGAACCTCTTTTAAAAACCTCTGTCATTACTCATGACCTTTGCTGATGTTGCACAACATCACTTCTGATCAGCGCTTTGAAGAAACCGTACAGCAGTTCATTCAGGAGCGTGTCACTGTGACACTGAGTGGGTGGCAACCACAGTGTCCAACACCTTAGTCACAGGATTAGTCATTTGTTAACTGCCACTATGTTTGCTGAGTGTTGCTCAGTCTTTGGGCAGCTTGTGGCTAACGATAGATTAATACCCGACCTAACTGAAAGTGCTTCCCGCCACATTATGTTACAGCCACAGTTATCCCAGGGATTTCCTCTCAACGACTTCTGAATTTATCAGCAGCAGAAGCAACAGTTCCAGTTTTCTCACCTGAGGGATTACTTTACCAGTTCCCAACCGAAAACACTTAACAGAGGAATGTGCTCTGTGTGGATGCAAGCGCAAAACTTTCTCTGATTCTCTTTTCTAGCACTGCTGGGATGCTGCTGGGAGTGCTAGTGTGTGTGTGTGTG